CGTATCATGTGGCTTCCCCCCTCGTCCCCTCGGTAGCAGCCCCCCTTCCTGCGGCCGCCTTCCCTTCCCTCCTCTCCTCTCCGGGGTGTGAGTGAGGTTTTGCGGAGGGGAGGGGGAGAGAGCAGGATTTCCTGCCTTCCCCATAGTGCTGGCCTCCTCTTCCAACTAGCTCCTTGGGAGCAGGCCCCAGCCTAGGGGGTGTGTGTGGGGGGGTGTCTCTTCCTCTCTCTTTTCTCTTGCTCCTCCTCCTCCTCCTCCTCTTTTTTTCAGGTGCAGGGAGGTGCACCCCCTGCGTGGTCCCTTCCCGCCCCACCATTGGGCCCTGCTGCCCTCTGACCTGGGGGTGCCGGTCCTTCTGCTTCCAGGAGGGGGGGGCAGGTGCCACCACCACCAGCAGCATGGTAGAGAAGCGGTGCCCACGGCTGCAGAGGGAGACTGTCTACCGGTGGTTCTCGGAGCTGCCCTCTCCTCAGCGAGTGGAGTTCCTCTGTGGCCTGCTGGACCTGTGCATCCCCCTGGAGCTGCGATTCCTGGGCGCCTGCCTGGAGGACTTGGCCCGCAAGGACTACCACTCCCTGCGGGACTCTGAGATCAAGGCCAACAACCCTGCAGACCTGGGCAGCCTCACCAACTTGACGGATGAGGTGGTGCGCAGCAAACTCTTGGTCTCCTTGGCCCTCCTGGGCTCTTCCCACCGGGAGGCAGCTGGGGTCCTCTTCCGCACCCTCACCCACATTGACTCGGTCATTCACAACTATGGACTGCAACTCAACGAAGGCCGGACAGGTGATGAGTTCTTGCTGCTCTTCACCATGGCCTCCAACCACCCGGCCTTTAGCTTCCACCAGAAGCAAGTGCTGAGGCAGGAGCTTACCAAGATCCAAAATATCGTGGCCAGCACCAGCAGGAGCCCTGAGACACCTGCTGCCAGCACCATGGGGCCGTGCCCTGGTTGCCACAAGGTGGGTTTCCAGTCCTAGGGTGTCGCTTCCCGTGTGCTTAGGGAGGATTCTGCCGCTTGCTGCAGAAGAGCACCTTGTCACTGCAGTGATCCATGGGTGGATAACAGGTAGCTGCAGATAAGTCAGTGCAGGCCTCAACTTCTTGGTTTGCCCACACTATGGGAAATGTTCCGTTGTGCATCTCTTTCCTGTTTCTTTCAGTCAAGAGTTATTATCCCCTCTGAATGGTTAGGAGTCCTGTTGCTGTTGGTTTTGCAACTCAAATCAGGCCTCGGCAGCATAGCTAGTGGTGAGGAATCAAGGGAACTGAAGTCCAGCCATCCTGGGAAGGTCCATTTGTTCTCTTTCCTTGCTCTGGTAGCTTTGGAAGTGCCAGATCCTGGGGTAGGTGGTTTCCAGAAGTAGCCACACAGATGTATGTAACAGATGTATACCAGCTGTTCTTAAGACAAGCTCGAACTGAAATAATGGTTCCCTGCTCTTGGTGGACTAGCTGAAGCAGGAGAGACAGAAGCCTTTGTTTTCCCACATGGTGTAATTGAAAAGTCCTGGTAAACAGACAGCAAGCCAAAGACAAATGGGCTGGAATTCCATCTTGATTGCACATCTAGTGATTCAGATCTTAATCTTAGCTGCATCTAACTAAAAACATGATTAAACCTTGGTAAAAAAAATGAGTGACAGTTTTGTTTGAAAAGGTTCATGCAACTTGCTTCTGCTAAACTAGTGTTAGAAGTTGATGGGCTTTTTTTACAGGTGTTCTTGAGTAGTATCTGTTGCCTAAGTACTGCTGCCTTAAATATAGCGGGGTGCTTTTATCCATGAGTATACTTTGCTTTTTGTGTATGAAAATATTAGATTGTTGGGCAAAGATGAGACACTGAGTGGATGTTAAGTTGAATCAAGAAACTTCTGGGTAGACATTTACCTCTCAGATTCAATTTTTTAGGAGTGGTCTAAGCCAAACATGCTTCTCCTTTTGCCATTACAGTATAGACTTATTGTTGGGGATCTATTTTGGATACATTAGTATTGGTCAAATTACATTCTGGTCTGATCTGAAACTGAAGGGATGATCTTGAATGGAAGCTTCTTTCTGAAAGTAGCTAGGATTTTACCTTTCTGTAGTATTTCATTTTCTAATAGGTGCAAAACAGACATCTTGTTGTGAATGTCATATAAAAATAGAAAGAAGCAAGCAGTATCATGTCTGAGTGCTCTTTCTTTCCTTCCTTCCTTCTATTTTTTTCTTTTCATCCAGGAAACAGACACTCTGCTTTGTTTTTAATTATACAGTATTTATCAATATTTATCACAATTTGTATTCCAAGGAATTAAGCTTCATTTCTTAAAATAATTTGACTTCTTTTAAATTGTTCAATAAATTGTTTTTAAAATTGAAACACTGGATTAAATCTATTGCTAAGACAAATAGCTGACAGTATTTTCTAGCAATCTGAGTTCACATCCCATGTGCTTTTAGATAGGAGAACTTGTTCACACATTTGTAAGGTACACTATTCATAAATATCTGAAAACACCTCCATGTGCTTTTATGAAACAAGGACAGGAAAAAACATGGATGCATAGCTTATGCTGGAACCATTGCCAGAAGGAATGTGAGATGTGATTCATGCAATGGTCAGGATTTGCAGGAGCAGCTAGAAAAATGAGCTCAGCTGAGCTGCAGACTATGAAAGGGGAATCCCTGAGCACTCTTGAGGCCCGGAGATGAACCGGGGCTTCATTTAGCATATGGTTGGCTTTGTATAAAAGAGCAACAAGTATCTTCACTGGTTGTTTTAACTCGTGGCTACAGCTAAAATGGAATTGCCTACTGTACTAACAAGTACAGTGAAGCCCTTCCAATAAACATTTTATCCCATGACATATACCTGGCATAACATCTTGCAAATATCTAGAAAAACTGCAAAAGGATAGTAGTAGCTTCACCTGCATTCCCCTCACTTGGTCGTTCATGAAATAGCCAAAGGCTGATCATCCCTTCCTCTTATCTTACAAACTTTGCAGATTAGTCAGTCTTCTGTTTAGGTATTACTGTATTAAAACATGTCAACCTTGTCCAGACACACTGTCAGCATTGGAAGAAAATAATATTGTACCTCATATTTTCCATTAGTTTGGTATTTACAAAATCGGTTAAATGTTGTCAATATTATTTTATGATGTACTGGAGAAAAGTGGAAGCAAAATACAGGACAGGATAGAACTGGACAAGAAATGTATCTTCTACAGCATTTGTGGCTCATATATGAGGAACATTTTCAGTTATTTTCCTTTATGTTTACATATCTGATTTATTCCAACATAATATCAGTATGAATTTAAACTATTGTGGTGAGTTCTTCTCCTGAAATAATCTAAAAGAAAAAAAAGTAGACATTTGAAAAGCAATATTCAAAGCAGCTCTTTAGACTGCTGGCTGCTTGAAAGTGCCATCTAAGCATCCACGGTCAGCCCTCTTGTGGGCATCATTCCTGCTCTCCTAACTATGGTTAGGAGGGCAGGAAAGCATGGCGGGTAGTTGTGCTTCTTGTGCCTCCTCACAACTCATGCTAAGATTTAACCCTCTCTTCTTTGGTGTGCTTTGAATGTTTAATTCTCGCCATGGTTAGCACATACCTTGACACTTCCAAACAAGAAGGGCTTAAAGTGCAATATCAAGTACTGACGAAAAGGGAAAATTTGTACCGCGAGACTCTCAATTAATACTGATACAGGCATAAGTCTATATGCAGTTAAATCATACCATGGAAGTAGGAAGGGCACATTTCTGTTGGCTGGAAACTGGTGGCTTGAAATGTGATGGTAAAACACAAAAGGTTCAAAACAATCTGGCTGGATAGAGACTAAATAGTGAGCAAAGAGTAAATACCTGCTTAAACAAAGCACACCAAAGAAGAGAGGGTTAAATCTTAGCATGAGTTGTGAGGAGTGAGGCACAAGAAGCACAACTACCTGCCATGCTTTCCTGCCCTCCTAACCATAGTTAGGAGAGCAGGAATTTAGCCCTTTAGAAAGAAATTGGGCATAGCTGGAGTTGGGCATAGCTGGAGCCCCTGAATAGAACAGGTTCTCTTTCCTGAGATAACTGTTTCAAATTCCTCCCTCTCTGTGTTTAATTTCAGCTTTTAGTTTGTTGTACAGAGTAAAGGTTGACTAGATGACTTGTGAGAATTGCATTCAGGTTGGTCTCTTACTGGAACAGTGGGTGTGTCTTGAGCATCTTCTCAAGGACTGTAACAAAGGCAGTGGATGTGTGAACACTGTTTAGAATAGTGGACATTACATGGCAGGGGTCCTGAATCTTTGTGGAAAGTAGGGGAAGTGTTTTGGCAGTGAAATTGGTAGCAGGGAGGTGGTGTTGACTGTGGTGGTGGGGAGAAGTGCAGGTGGTATAAGATGCTCTTTCTTTGTATCAGAATGTTGCACCATTTAAAATTATGGATGTGTATAAAATACAGTACAGGTAAAATGGGAAACATTACAAAGTTAAGTGAATTAGACTACTTTTGACCAGAAGCAGGCTACTTCAATAGCATAATCTTGGCCATTTGCTAGAGAGGATCGGTCACTGCTTATCAGGGTCCTGGGCTGAGGGTTCTTTCAGTAATAGGAGAGAAGGCATATGAGGAATGCCAGCAAGATGGACTTAGCTGCAGGCAGGCCTGTGCCGCTGAGACAGGAACCTGTGAGGCATCACTTTGTATGGCAGTGGCCCGTGTCTGTGCAGTTGCATTCTAGAACTGTAAAGAGAAGAGAGAAGGTCTCCGAGGATGCTGCTGATGCTGTCAAAGAATTACTCTTATTCCCTACAAATACGGTTCCTCACTTCAGCTGTAAACAACTGTCCCACTGCATTTCTTCCTTCCCAAGAATGTCAACCATATGTTGCATCAGAGGATCTGACATTCAGCAGAAACAGTTGCTTGATGGTTTGGGGCTTTTTGCTTCTCTGTGTATTTTATAAGCGCGAATCAGTGTGCTAGTTGAATCAAGGATGGTTGTAAAAAAGGAGGGCAGGATTTAACATATCCCAGTTAAATTGAATCTCACCGGAAATGAGGTACCCATTTGAAGTTGTGATAACAGCAGAATCACACATGGGCAAATGAGGCTTCAAGACCAAAACCCATTTGGTCTCAGTTTGCAGGCAGTGGAACAAGTGAAACAAGTGAAACAGTTTTTGAGAAACAGCCATGTAGAGTTTTTGAGATTAATTATGTCAGGGACATTTGTGGATTCCAGCTAATTTTGCTTGGCTGCATGGAGGATACGATGTTTGAGCTTCAGGTGCATACAGAGAGGGCACACAGCTAGGTTGGAGGGGATCAGAGTGAAACTAGACACAGGGGGTGACAATGGTAATGTGATAAACAGCATAAATATCCTGGCAATATTTGTAACAGAATAGAATAATAATGTTAACAGACCATTTTTCTCTTGGAGAAGTAAAGCTGACTAGTTTTTTTTTTCTCTTGTGGTTTTCTTCCTCCCTAGGTCACTTCAAGATCTGAGCCCCTTGTACATGGTGTCGGTCACAGTTTAGAAAATGCACTACATACATCAGCACATTCCGTTGAGGAGTCATTGCTCAAGAGGCCTTCAGGGAAACACTCCAAAGGTGCATCAGCATGTTTTGTTTTATATTCCTATTTATTGATTTTAAAAAAAACACATTTCTGACTGCTTGAAAATTACTTAATAAACAACTCTAGACAAATACATACTCCCAAATATTGTTGGTGTTCTTAGGTATGTAAAAGATTTGCTCAGTTTCTAGGAATCTTGTGTGCATAGCCTCCAGGAGCAGCTAGACCTCTGCAGGCTTTGGGTCAGTCTTTTGTTTATTGACTGAATTCTGGTCTAGAAGTCTGTATATGTTAACCAATAAAGATCCCCCACTCTTCCTGAAGTATCTGATAAGCACTTGTAGTTCAATTCCTTCATCTATCTAATGAATATGGCAATACTGTAATACTTTGGTGAACATGTTGTATTTAGAAGAAGAAGAAGAATTGGATTGACGCCTGTATCCCTTCACGGGGATATAGAGTGATCCTTTCCACTATTCCAGTCAGCCATGCCTTCTGTCTGAATTTCTGATCTCATCCCCACCCTGTCTGTTTTCCATTTGGTCACTTTGGAAGGAACCTTCCTTTTAGACTTCCCTTTCATTTCCAAAGTGTTTATTCTGGTGAGTTGTGAACTGCCTGAAGCCCATGGCTGCCCCCTCCTATGTAGATGATGTTGTTCTAGGCACAGAGGGCAGTAGTGCTCACTTTGAATGCTAGGAATACCAGGGACTGTGGTTTAGTGGCAAAAAAATCCATCTTGGCTAGAAGAGCGAAGCCACATCATTTTACCTTTTTTTTAATGGCCTTGGATTTGGAACCTAAGCAGTAAAATAGCAATAATTATAAGAAGGCCCAACAGTTTTCACTAGGTTCAGTTTTTTGACGGGGCAAAATTTATTTTTAAAGTAGTCTTTCTAACCTCATCAGTCTTGCTGCTCTTAATCAGAAAGGTATGCCCCATCTACTAGCAATCCAGGAAAGGCACCTTTTGTCTTGTGTGATTTTGCCAGTCGTGGTGTAAGAAACAAATCTCTCTTCTTTTTTGATTTTGTCATGATTCTGTGATGATTATAGTAGCACACACACTCACCATTTCAGATTTGAAGATAGGAGTGGCTCTTCTTTGTTAGGTTGACATGGTTTGAGTTCTGTACTCCTCCCTCTTTCATTCCTTTTTGCATCTTCAGGAGACACAAACTCTCACTCTGTAGTTGGTTACTGAGGTGAGCATAGCAGCATAGGTCATGCCTACTGTTGTACATGTTTACCCAGGTATGGGTGTTTTCATAATTTGTCATTTGTGCAAGTTGTGGGACTCAGAGCTGTTTCGTATTGTAGCAGCACAAGAAGAGCTTCTCTTACAAAAAGTAAACCTTTATCAGGGAAATTGGGTAGAGACTCATTGAGTTGGCTTTTCAGCACCTGAATAGAGCATGGATTGGGGCTTTCCCTTTGCTTTGAGATTTTAGAGAGCAACTTTTGGTTAAGCAAAATCTTAACTCTCTGAGGTTCTGAAAACTTTTGTGTATTCTTTTTAAAGTACATCTAACAACATCTTAGAGTATATTTGAGGTAACCCTCTCCTCCAGATACAACTGTTCTTTCCACAGAATCAAATGATAATAACTTGCATTTCCTATGTAAAGAACATCTGGCAATTTGTAATGGGAAATCTGAGACTGTTTTGATGGGGCAGAGCTTCGCCTGTTAATATGACCTCTTGGCAGCATGTGATATATGAAGGCTAAACTTCCTAAATAGTGATAAATGGTAAATTGAGCTAGCTTGTAAAATTTTGAACACAGCATTTTTTTTACCTCTGTGGCCATATGGACAGAACACAACCAAAATCTCACTCTGAAAATAATCCTGTGAATGAGTTATAAATAGCTAAGTATAAAGTTCTCTTACTAAAAATTATAAATGGAAACTAATCAATTCAGTATTTGGTAAACCATGGAAACTCCTCCTATCTATCTGGAAAGCTGAAATTAATAACCTTGATGGCAAAGAACAAAACAAAACAATTCAGCTCCAGCTCTCAGCAGCTGGAGCCATATTGTACTATTCCTGGAGCCTGTTTCTGAAAAACTTCGTCAGATGTCTTGACCACAGCATTTTTTCCAATAGCACAGTGTGGGATAAAGTACATTAAACCAGATGTTGAAATCTACATTCGATAAGCTCTTCCAGTAGCGCAGCATAATGGAGGACGTACAGATTGTTAACTTGACTAACTACAACCTTATGCATACTCAGTCTTCTTCTCAAATGATTCCCCCACTGCCAGTAACGAGGCACATAGAGCAGATACACAGTCATGTCAAAACAAGCTTCCAAACTCGGGAAACCATGGCAACAAAGAACCTTGTGATACTGTGCAAGATGGTATACATGCACCATGGAACAAGGCATACCGATTATTGACTCAGTGTAGGATTTGTCTGTCCCCTTAGAAATCCC